ACACACTTACACTCCATTTCGCATATCCTCCTTTGGCATTGGTTGGGTTTATGTTCAACAATCTGTTTGTTTACGTTACTCCACGTATTATTTATTGTTTTGCATATTTGCATGGCTATGAAAGTAGTTAACAGAAAGAATATTTCACCGGTACGTGTACTACACTACAGTGGTGGTTCTTAGTGATGGTATCATGACACTGTAGTTATCATATTTTAACCCGATCCCCCCCTCCCCACCGTCGCCTTCTTTCCGACACTTTTCGGAAGCATGTGTACATTCATTATCAATTCTTTCCGGTTTTCCTGTATTTTTATTTATTTTTCTAATTGTTTGCCAAAAGGGGAATGGGATCATTTATTATATGAGTCTTTTTGCTTGTGATGTGTGTGTGTAGACACCTTTATTCATCTCAATAAGTTATCCTGAAATGGATTTCTGTTTCATTACCGCACTAGTCTTCATTTTAAAGGTTGAATTTGAAGTGTCACTCTCCCCGCCGTGCCAACTTCAGATTAGTAGATATAGTTGTGCACTGCATGGTTATTCCCATCCATTTTAGTATTTGATGTTGCCTAACTAGTTAGTAAACTGTGTTTAATTCGATTTCGACTTTACTACTTACTTACTTTACTTCGGCTATCTCCTGCGGGAGGATGAGCCGGCTTCATGAACATCTCGAATCATCGCTGCCCAGGCGCGGCGATCTGATGCAAGGTTTTGCGACAGGGTTATCCAATTCTTGTTCCACAGACGCAGTCCGTAGACGGTTTGTAGCCCCAGGCACTCCATATCAGCCTTGACTGTACCAAGCCATGTTTTCAGCTGTCCACCCCTGCGACGTTTGTAAGAGAGTTCATGAAGTTTCATGGGAATTTGGTACGAGTGATGTCCCCAGAATCGCTCGGCCTTTTGTTTGAGAGTGCAGCTCTAGCCTTTACACAACCAAGTGTGACCTACAAGGCAGTAGGAGTGGAGTAGCGAGTCCACTATCCATTGGAAGCCGGTGACCGGAGTTCGGTTCATACGCCTTTTTGAATGGGGCCAGACATCCAGGACATCCAACAAGCCCTTTGTCCATACGTCTGCCGGTGAGCTCCAGTGAGCTTCATACGCCAGTCGTTGGAGGTTTGGAATCAGGGTTTAGCCATCTCCCCTAGACTGTCATCCAATGGACAGTCAACCCGGTGAAGAGCGCCGGACATCCGCTTTCGCCCTCTCACTTTGGTGATTGATTGTTCTAAAATGTCCGGCAGCTCTAGACATATCCGCTTCTAGTATGAATACTTCGGAGATGTCTAAAGATTAATTGGAAGTAATTTTGTGGATGCTGACTGACTAGCAGTGGAATCCAGGCTTACTCGTGTTGGTCCTATTTAAGACTCGTCATCCGGATTGTATCTGCATCCATAGGGAGTGATAGACACGATGTTCCCACTGGTGACTCCAACCTAGTAATACCCATCGTTTCAAATGCCATAGCACCGCCATCCTCTAGATCATCACTTGGGTGATGAGAGCCACCACCTTTTGTGCAACGAGCATCAGTCATTAATTGTTGTTCAGTGAATTTAGATTTGCCTGTACATCCAGCTCTATTGAACCCTAAATAGGATAGGGAATACGCATCTTGGATTCCGCTGCTAGTCACCAGCCACCAAATTACTTCTAGTCAAATCAGTTAATTTTATCCGTGTTTTTCGAGTTTTGTGTTTATCTTGAGTTTAATTGCTTTAAAGAAGCTTTATTATTCTGATTCTTCCTTCTAATTAGTGCAAATACATTAGTGATGATGTGTGGTACTCTGTACTTACTTCACTTTCAGAACATCAGTTGCCTGAAATTTAGAGGACTACATATTTAAATACTCCTTTTGAGCCTTATATTATTAAAAGTTAATTGGTAGATGGTGACTAGCAGTGGAATCCAGGATAACGCGCATTTCGTCCCATTTGGGGACTCGTCAACTGGACGTACCTGCATTCCACAGTGAGTGATGATGTTCCCACTGAGGCTCGAACCCAGTGCCCATAGTTTCAAACTCCAAAGCGTTATCCACTGGACCACTTGGGCCACGAGAGCCGACATGTCAACCTGAGACCGAGCAGTTCGGTCCAATCAATCGACAGGAAAATCTAAAATTCAATTAAATAATTATATCATTAAGTTTGTAGTTTTAAGCTTTCCTATTCACCGATGCTTCTGTTATCTGTTTGTTGAGTGACTTTTAGTGTTAGGACTTTCACTATAACGATTGACAGTTTTTGCCATTGTTATCATTCTCCAGTTAGCTGCTATTCGTTAGTTTGTTTACAAGTTGCCTGAATCTCTTGTTGGTTACTATTTAACAATATGAAATACTTTATAATCGATCGCTATGTATTCGTCGGCAGCATTATTTATGCATGCTGTGTAAGTAAATCCTCTTCATTGATTATAAAGACTTTTTCAGGAGAATAAATGCTACACCACCCCTAGCTACAACGGCTGGATTCAAGTCTTAGATGTTCTAAGTCAGATGTATAGTGTGGTCATCTTCCTAGACAGCTTTTATGCACACTATGTTGTTAAGAAATGGATAAAAAAATTACAGCTTTTCAGCATCAAAGTAGTAGTAATTCGTAGTGTTTAGCTGCACTTTCGGGTTGAAACGCAAAGCCAAATCGGTTGGGTTTACATGACAAGTAGTTAATGTGTTTATAAGTCATTTCTGCAACTTCAAATGCACAGATTGACTTCCAGGCTGCAGACTTCGCTAAAACAGCACAGAAAGTTCGTCATCAGTACCACTAATGTGAATATAAATCTATGATAGGTAATCCTTACTTCAGCAGACACTTGCTCACGGAGGGAGAACATCTTATTTGTTGCTGTAAAATGTACATCTGAGTTTTTGAGATGTTTTTTTCTTTTGGAATACGCTGAAGATAATTTAGAAAGGATTTTGACATCCATGGATGTCCATGATCTATGTAAGGTCATAAGACTGTGGTATGTGATATAGTTACTTCACAGTTATTTCAGCTAGTCATACTTTTTGAGATAGACTATCGTTCAAGTGAATCGAGGAAGTGGTTATTGAAATAAAGAATGAAGAGAACGTGAAATAGGACTAACTAATTGGAATTGCTTTTCCTTGAATTTTGTGAGATGATCTGTATAACTTCAACGTACAGTACGAATAACGAGGAGTCAGTTGTATGTGCAATGTCTAATAAGTCATATGCGGATATTCTTTATTTCATTTGGTGGTTACAGTTAATTTCTCATAAACACTGGTTTTATTTGTGTGGAATAAGCAGGAAAGATAATACAATAGTTCAAAAGTACAATGCACGTGGTACCTCCATCATGGATTCAGGAAGCTGTTGTGGTAGTTTTGCTGAAATCGTCATTTGCGCATTGTTTTTTATCTGTTATGCTTTCACTAAGAAGGTAAGGTGAATTAGAATAACGCTTCCTTAATGTAATGAAGCTCCAGGGAAAACATAAAACTCCCAGACAATGGCAATTAAAGAGACGAAGGTGAATAGGAATAACCTTTCAAGAATTGGTTTTTAGGGAATCTATTTGTTTCAGGTTAGACCACGGATTGATATTAGTTAGGGAACCATTGAAATCCAGGGAGTACTGGACAGCTGTTTCATCCTAGTTTGAGACTCTTCGGCAGTACACACCCACGTGCTAAAGTCACGAATTGGTAGAAGTTAGAATTCATAGGTCATTGAATCGAGTACTTACTTTTTACTTTACTTCGGCTATCTCCTACGGGAGGATGAGCCGGCTTCATGAACTTCTCAAATCATCGCTACCCAGGCGCAGCAATCTGATGAAGAGTTTACGAAGTTTCATGGGAATTTGGTACGACTCGGTACCACTCGGCCTTTTGTTTGAGAGTGCAGCTCTAGCCTTTACACAACCAAGTGTGATCTACAAGGCAGTAGGAGTGGAGTAGGGCGTCCACTATCCATTGGCAGCCGGTGACCGGAGTTCGGTTCATACGTGTTTTTGAATGGGGCCAGACATCCAGGACATCGAACAAGCCCTTTGTCCATACGTCTACCGGTGAGCTCCAGTGAGCTTCATACGCCAGTCGTTGGAGGTTTGAAATCAGGGTTTAGCCATCTCCCCTAGACTGTCATCCAATGGACAGTCAACCCGGTGAAGAGCGCCGGACATCCGCTTTCGCCCTCTCACTTTGGTGAAAAACACCTTCGCCACGTGAAGACAGTGAGTAGGACTTCCTCAGGAGAGGCTATGTAAGACGCCCGGTCATATGGGAGCATTTCAAGAAGTGTGCGGAGGAGTGGCCAACCCGCAGCGCAAGGCACCCACCCCCGACCATCCTGAGGCTTTGGAGGTTGAATCGGGTCCTAGTGGCTGAATGGTATACGAGCTTGCCTTGTAACCAGGAGGTCCTGTGTTCGGAACCCAGTAGGTGCATACTGCTGATGAGTCCCAGTCCGGTACTGTCTGGTTTTCAATGGTTCTCTAACTGATTTCAATCCGTGGTCTAACCTGAAATAACCTTTCAGTACACAAATATATCCACTAATTAAAAGTTGGTTCACAGGACAGGTAACGCTAAATCATTATCTGCTTCCTTTTGGATGAGATATTACCTCATAAAGATTCATATATACCTCCGAAATGGCATTGTGATTAGGATTCAGTGATCGGTTTATTTTTACTACGAAACCGATTTAAATTTTATTTAGCAGTTATCTAGAAATGTTTTAGTATATAGTTTTCCTCCTGCCTGTGCATGTTATGTACACTTCAAATCATTTGTATTTTTTTTTCATTTTATGTGAATGGGAAGCGGTTGCTATTATACATCATATACACAATATTAACACTTTTGAGTTTTTTCTATTCCAATTTAGTAGTTTGTGCACGTTTGAATTTTATTTTCCAACGGATTTTGAATTATTTTTTTAAAAAAAACGTTTTCTTCTTTTTTGCGTTTCCATTTTTTGTTATTATTGCAAAATATAAAGAACCAACTAGTATCGCTTCGCCTACACCTGATCAACGAATATGTACACCAGAAACTGAAGTTGACGAAGAATTCAATTTTCCACCACCTGGAGAAAATCAACCAATTATGGTGAGTAGACACCATGACCATTAATACTTGTTGTTTTTGTGTTTTGTTTGTATGTGTGTGTGGTCAATTGATCTCGGGTTCGAGTCTCTCTCTGTGCGTATTTCAACTTGGATGGACAACTGGGCTCTCCTACACAATAAATTGTAGCCCATACCCTAGAACATGGAAGGTCTGTTCCAGGAACTGAGTTCAAACAAATGTTGTCAATGAAGTAATTCTCTTGATGTTGTTATACTTGGTTCGTTTCTCTTTGAGTTGATTGATGCTCATGTAGTCGTCAGTCAGGTAGACTCAGCTCAAAGTGTAACAACAGAAGACAAGGGCCAGGCAACAGATCGTTTATTAAGGAAAATCAACACATATTTATAGATTTTAATGTACATTATTGTAGATTATTGTTAGTAGAAAATACAGTCTTTTGATTGGTGGTTATTTTTCACAGAAAGTTAACCTTGCATCTCTTTGTGGCTGCGTCAGATCATCCATATGCTAACTGTATCCGCCTACGCAAAGCCTTTGTTCTCATTTTCTCACCACTAATATTGGGGACATAAACATTGACGTCAATTACTGTCTATCAACTTTGGCTAGCAGCCAGCTCTCACCACAAAAGTATCTTTCAAGCTACTATATGACTAGCTAATAAACCTTATCACAAAAGGGTTAAATCTAAAGGTGGGGTACAAGATTTTGGCGGTGATTTTAAACTCAGTTACTGCGAAACAGATGCTCTATTTATCAGTGAGGTCATATGCCACACAAATGGTGTGAAGACTAATGTGAACGAGGTCCGAATCTGTTACTTATTCATACGGATAGCTTTATTCTGAATAGTATTATTATTATTGTTTCCTTTAGTTCCTAGAGGAACATAGGGCTTCAGCCGCACGTCTCCATTGCGTTTGGTTCTCTGCCAACGTTTTCACCTGACCCCACGTCTGCCCACATGCTTTCATCTTCTTTTCACATGACCTCCTCCGTATCACCCTGGGACAACCAACTCGCTGCTTCCTATTGGGGTTCCACTCGAACGATGGCCTGTCTAGTGATGTCACTTGATGGTTTCCTCAGAGTATGGCCAATCCACCTGCGTTTATTCCTGCATATTTGTTTCACAATCGGTTCCTGATTGGTTCGCTCCAATAGATCCCTTCGTGTTGCTGATCTTTTCTGGCCAGCCATCTGATCTCGAGTAGTATTGAGCGAAGACAGCTGTTGATGAAGGTCTGTAGTTTGTTCGAAGTGGTCTTCATGACGCGGTGCCAAGTCTCTGACCCGTATAGTAGCACTGATTGCATATAGGATTTGAAAACCCGGATCTTATTTTTCACGCTGAGTTAGTCCTGTTGATCTCCACACAGACTTCAGAGTAATGAATTCTTGCCTTGCTTTCCCAATCCTCGCTGCTTTGATATCCTCGTCAGTTCTGTCTGCCTATAGTTGAAATGATGCTTCCCAGGTCGGTTGGTGAAGGAGGTTGCTTCCTTCAGATTTCTCCCATTTATACTGATTATTGTCTGTTGTTGTTGTTGCTGTTGCTGTTAACCAGGAATCTTCATCACCTCTGTTTTCTCTATGTTCACCTGAAATCCGTCCTATCTTTGATGCTTCTTCTGAATAGTATTTATATAATAATACAGAATTTCCTGTGGAGTTTATTTACATAATATTTTCTTTTCGTCCGGGATCTTCAAATAAAACATTGTCTGACAACAGATCGTTTTACGCAGTGCTATCTGATACCTTTCCTTTCCCTCCTTCGAGAAATACATAACGTCCGTTTTGAATGACAATTATAAAAACTTCAGAAGTACAGTTTGAGAATTGAGGATACAATTCAGGAACAATTATCTCATGTAGTGAGATACATTGATACACAGGATAATACTTTCTTTTTCTCAAGTTTATTAGAAACTTACGATTCAGCATGTTGTAAGTATTTTAAATACTCGCCAGAGTAAATAATACTATTAGAGGTCATAGTTTAACAGATTTAAACAAAATGAACAAGAGAAATTATCCAATTGTAGTGTTGCAATAAACAGTCCTCTTTATCATTAACTAAAGTTTTCAGACATAATTATTTAAGCATTACAAGCGTGTAAGTTGATTTCAAGTCGAGAAGTCTATGAAGTTGTATTAACAGATGTAAAATTGAGCAATATATTCGACTTATCTACCGGCACTAAAACTATAATAATAATAATAATTTGCTTTATTCCAAAACAGTACTTGTGATACAGAATGGAATTCTCAGCATTTTTACTACAGTATTGCATCCAGTTAGTACATTATCAATAAATAGAATTCTACATAGATTAAGGAAATCTCAGTTCATTATGACAACAACATATTGGCATGTTGGTAGCAAAGCCAAAGCTGAACAGTGTTTGAAGGTGTTAGAAAAGTAGGAGCTGTCATATTTACTGGCGTAAGCGGAAGAAAGAAACAAAGCAGCACATAACGGAAAAAGAGAGCGAGAGAGAATAGGAAAAGAAAGAAAGAAAATGTTGTACCTATAAATGATATTAGTTGGAAAGACGAGGTCCAGTTGTTCTACTGACTATTTAATGAATTATAGGTGTCACGCCTAATGCTTTCTTTATCGCACAGAATACGAGCTAAGTAGGCTATGGTTGAGTTTTTGTACTTGCTGGTGCGAGCATATAGTTTTCTATATAGGCTTCTGGTTTTGCGTGATGAGATGCAAGGGGAGAGTTGTGAGTGAAGAGGGTGGTGTGAATTAGATAAAATGGATTTGCTTAGGAATAAGTTAAGAGTTGTATCGATTTTCGTTGCTGTTACTAAATGAACACCATTTTAAAACTGGATTTCATCATGAGCTGTTATCAGATAGAGAACTACTGGGTAATCTGGGGCTACTGGACAGCTGTTTCGTCAACCTAGTTTGGGACTCTTCAGCAGCGTGCACTACCGGGGTTCGAAACAAGGACCTTCTGGTCACAAGGCGAGCGAGCTCGTAGACCACTTAGCCACTGGGACCCGATCCAATGGCCAGCCCATGAATTCCAACTTCTGCCAATTCACGATATAGCGCGACTGGCACTGACTAATGTCATCGCTGGCAAGTACTTGTCACACCTGACCTGGGTATTATATTAGTTGAAGTCTAATGTCAATTATGTATTCATTACATTGAGAGATACTATTACGAAATTGTTGATTAATTCTGTATAGTTTAGTTGTGCATTATATAGAAATTACTAATTCTGCTATTCACACTACTTATTTCATATGTCTGGTTATAATGCAAAAAAATTTTAAAAAATGCCTAGTTTATATTCATTTTTTTATTTCAGCATTAGTATTAGTAAGTGGTGATTACGTAATCGTAAGATTGGATGAACTTTTCGCTAAAATAACTCCTTGTTATTCAGACATATTATCGGATATCAACTGACAGATTGATTAAGGAAGGGTTAAGCACTCAGGACCCTAAGAATATGAGATGGTCATTTCTCAACCCCTCCTTACCATCATCGATTAACGGACAGATGAATTTCTTAGAATTTTATGTCAAATTTGTGGCTTTTGACTTGGGTCGTGTTGACTGACTGACTGATTGGGTGGTTTCAACATAAAACTTTGCACAGATGTACAGCAGTTCGAGTTACCATTGTCCATGCAGCACACAAAGAAAGAGAAGACAGTAAAGGGAGGTTCAAAAGAGAGAAAATAAACAGAAGTGTTAGGGGAAAAAAGTAATAAAGTAGAACAGCAGACTATTATTGGTTATGACATATTACAAAGAGCGAATGCATCTGAGCCATCATTGAGAACAATTTTGAACCATATCACGAATTTCCTCCAGCCTTTATTGGTTCTCACTATCCATAGGACCCCAACCAGTCAGGAAGTCTTCACCTCTCTACGTGGACAGCTTAAACTAACTGCTATGGTTTTCATTGACTGATGAAACCATGTTTTGGTTTGTCCACCTCTAGCTCTTTTCCAGTCTGATCTTATGTTGTCAGCTAGCATTGTCCGCTGAGAAATGTGATTCGGGTCATATTAGGTAGGAAGATAACTATGTATCAATTAAATTCGACAGAAATGGTATTGATTTTAGTCTCTCGTTAGTTCAACAATTGTGAACTCTCACTAAGCAGGTGTTAAAGGTCCCGGGGTCGAATCCCAGTTGACGCACTCCAAAACCTTGATCAATTTATTAGGTGAAAGCTCGAAAAAAAGAGAGAGGTTTGGGCGTAAGGCTATTAACGCCACCCTGTAAAAGAAACAACACTATCGTAACTAGAACTTCAAAAAGTGTCAAGCCTTGAGAGCATTAGCGACTATATTCCAAACATTCCAGTCTTAGACTCCATCAGTAGTCATGAAGGTGTGTATGTGGTGTAGTTTTGAAGAGTCTCAAGAAGGATAGAAACTTTTGTACTGACTGACTGATGGAGTTTTCAGCTTTCATATCTTGTTACCATAGAAATTGTAAAAATGTTCACTGAATTATATTCTCTCTTGCTCATATCTTTATTTGTCCAGCGTAGTATTTTTTGTGTTACTCTTAGTTCCATTTTTGTGCGCTTTTTCAAGTTATGGAGGCTTGAACTGATATACTTCTGGTGTATGTGAGTAATAAATCAGTCAGAGAAATATTTTCTCCTTAAATTAGTTTACTTCCTGTGGATGAACACGACACTGGGTTTCTTGTTTGGCTTATTGTAAAATTCACTGTGGAGATTTATAGATAGATCAGCTGGAATGAAACGACCTACTCATGTATCTACTGTTTTCTTCTTCATTTGACTTTTATTTTAGAGTAAATAATTCTACTCAAATGGCTCATTAAGTAGTATAATTCACACTCAGTGGTGTTCATTTGAAATTAGCAGTTTTTAACAGCATACTTTGAATGGGGCTGTCGTTGTACCCATCTTAGTATGCGTATGACTCGTCGACTTAACTTTCAACCAGTGGGTCTCTCTCCACCTACTTTAGCCTACCTGGATAATTGAGTAGCCTTCATATACTATGTGTGGCTTATGGTGCATTACCAGGTAACTGAATTGTAACTAACTTTATATATGTAATTAGAATTTACTTGGTGGATGGTGACTATCAGTGGAATCCTATTTGGGACTGACTCATCAGCCGGATGTACCTGCATTCCCCAGTGAGTGATGATGTTCCTACCGAGGCTCGAACCCAGTGCCCATAGTTTCCACTGCTAGTCACCATCCATCAATTAAATTCTAATTACGACATGCCCAGACACCGCGAAGCATCTGCACAAGTAGCCGACATGTCAACCTGAGACCGAGCACTTCGGTCCAATCAATCGACAGGAAAATCTAAAATTCAATTAAATAACTTCGATACAACAATATGGCTGAAACAAGATTTCAATCTCTCTGACAATAAGGTGACGTTATACGGAGAATGTTGGAGCTATGGCTTATTAATCAAGGTGACCAACTTCCAACCTGGGGGTTACAGGTTGGAACTACGCTCCATCTTTTGAGGTTTGGATAGTTCTCACATACGATTTGTGTGACTCATTGCCAGTTACTTAGAATTTTAAATGGTTGTTGAGTGACATTTCATTTTCACTCATTCATAGAGAAATCCGTATCATATTATTATTATGAGAACACAAACTTGGTACATTACAGACACCAAGAGATGCGCCACACAAAATCTCATAGTGTTTGCGAAGGTCCGGATACTCCCTGGACACCCAGACCGAAGCAGGTGGTTGTCTTAAATGACCAACCCCTAACCTTTTTCCTGAAGTTTGATCCACAAGATCGTTCAGCAGCGTATGGTTCTACGTCCCAATGGATTCCGGTGACCAAAACGGGTTCACATGCCATTCGGTCCGTCCAGATTCTGGAGTCGATGTACACCACAGATTTGGAATCAGGGTTTTCCACCTCTCCTAGGGAGACCAGCATCACCATGAGTTCAGCTGTAAGCACCAAGCCTTCTCATTAACCCTTTCCCTTATGTGACGAATACCTCTGTCGCATGAAGGCAGTGCATAGGATTTACCTGACCATATAAGGGAATTTCAATAGGAAGACCGATGTCTACCCACCTTCTTTCCGTACTAGGTCTTTCATAGGATCAGGGATCCTATCCACAACTTAATGATGCTCAGGTAAACATCTCAATGTCTTAAAAGTATGTGTTCAACAGTCAATCTGTTATTTCTCACCGTATTACAAACCAGTAATATCGTTGTTGTTATTATTGTCCATTTCCTATGTTTTATAGGCAGCTGCACATGCATTACACCATGAAACACGTTTATGGTCAAGTCGTGATAATGAATTGATTGCAGCAACAAAACGTATGGCTGCTTTAATGGCTCAACTTAGTCAAATTGTCCGGTAAGCATCTTGTTAACCTGATATGTTGATGTAACCTTTTTTTTATTCCACACAGTGTTACAGTATTATGATTATTAGTGATAAATTCCAGAGCTCTAGAAAACGGACCCACAGATCTCACCAGATGTGCTCATGCCACTGCTGCAGAAGGTATGGAAGAAGGGAAAAGTGCCTATCGATTGGAAGAAGGGTTACCTCGTTAAACTTCCAAAGATGGGCATAAGAACCCACGCGGAATCATTCTCCTATCCACCTCAAGCAAAACATTAAGTCCCATCATCCCAGAGACACTAGAAAGTGCTCCGGGTGACATGATGTGTGGACCAAATTGCAACACTACACGTCATGATCGAACAGAGCGTAGAATGTTAGTCAATCGTCTGCATCGACTTCATTGACTATGAAAAGGCCTTCGATAGCGTCCACCATGAGAGGCGATTCGGTAACTTCTTCAACACTACTGAGTACCACAAACCTTTATCAACCTCATTCAACAGCTATATAATGGTGCTACAAGCATGGCGATTTACAACGGAAAGCTCAAAGAAGTATCAGTTACCATCAATGGGAAAAGTCCTAGAGGAAGTCACCTGTTTCAATTGTGTAGGCAGCATCGTTTCAACTACGAACGGCACAGATGAAAATATCAAATGTAGAGTTGGGAAAGCAAGATAAACCTTCATTAATCTTTAGTCAATATAGAAATCTGCTATACTCAGCATAAAGAACAAAATCCGGATTTTCAATACTAGTATTAAACCTGTACTTCTCTGTATGGTTTAGAGACCTGGTGCATCATGATGAAAACCATTTCCAACATGCTACTGCTGACTTTTGTCAACACCTGCCTCCTCGTCTCCATATTGAAAATCAGATAGCCGATCGGAAAGGTTATTCAAAAACTAATGTTAAGATGCATGCTCAATGTCCCATTCCTACTTGATGATAAAATATAACAGACGGACAGAACAACTTTGGAATCTGCGCTTGGTCGACTGCCTGCCGACTGTTTCATGACACACCTAGAACTGAGCACTCTACTAGCAGTCTGTAAGAGTTATGTAGATAATATTTTTTCAGCATTGGTTCACAAATCCATGACTTTAGACAATGCAGAAAATCCTCCATACTGGAACTCTGATAAATCATAGTCTATTCATATGAACTGTGATCAAGATTTGACCGGATAGTTGCAAAATAATTGAGCGCTGAGTGAGAAGTAGACATTTATAAAATTATATTTGTGAAATCTCAGCGAGATTGAAATGATTAATTCCAACGTTTCGTTCGGCAATCTGGTCCGAACTTCTTCAGAGAAATTAATCGAAATCAACATAACAGAGGTTTGTATATCAAAGGAACAACTCTTGTTTTTAAACTTTGTCCAATCATGAGTCATGCAACAGTCATCAACATGTATAATAAGTAAATAAATAAAATAGTATGTTTATATATAAAAGTACATCTCTTGTTTTTAAATTGTTTGTCCTGTCATGTGAAACAAGAAGCAGCTATCAATAGGTATAATAAACAAAACAAAACAAAATTTTTATATGAACTGTGATCAAAATTTGACCTCAGACTTTCAAAATTAGTCTACTTTTGTTAAAATATATGTGTATATGCAGTATCAATGGTGTGTGTGAACAGTCATAAAACATTTGTTATTCTTAAATGAGCTGTGATCAAGATTTGACCGGAAAGTCTATTGCGTCATATTTAACCAAGTTCTTCTGATATTCACTGATATTCGTTCTAGGTTGTTATTACTCGTAAGCTGGATCATGTATTGTATGCTAAATGCGTGCGTACAGCTGATGGTCGTCCAACTTAGGACAAAACTATTATGCACAAGAAACACTTTGTTTTTTGTTTTTTTCAAATATATTTTTCCTATAATATACACTAATTCATAATTAAAAGAAATATAACTATTATTACTTCAAAATTTGACAATTCAACCGAAAAAGATTTTAAAATTTGGTTGTTTCCAACTGAATAATTTTTTTCATTTCACATTACGTAACCAATAAAGCAAAACCCAATTGTGTCCTTTTTTTCCCTTGATTATTCTGCAGTGGTGAATATGGAACAAAGAAAGATTTGATAACTGTTTCTATGGCTATTGCAGAAGCATCAATCGATGTAAATCAATGTGCAAAAGTATTAGCTAGAGAATGTACAGATCGTCGTATACGTTCGGTGAGTGTATATTTATGTATGCGCGTGTATGTATACTCTTTATGAAGAAACGTATTCCATGTACCTTCCATCTAACTCTGTTTATCTCTTTCTATGTGTGTTTGTGCGTGTGTGTGTGTGTGTGTCTGTTTGTGTCAGAGTTTGTGGCTTACCGCTCCATTATAGATAAGATTTTATTTTGATAAATCACACAGTGTTGTTTATAGTAATATTAACTGATGACCACACGTTTCGAGCACAAACTATTGCTCATAATCATATCAAGTCACTCATACAACTTTTTACTTCATTGATATAAGAATAAAACTTGGGCACTGTGGTAAAATGTAATTCCATTATGGGTAAATTTTTATTTTGATAGAGTCTCACAGTGTTATGCAGTAATATTTACTGATGACGTTTCGAGCACAATTTATTGCTCATAATCATATCAAGGTAATCACACGACTTCTTAAATTCATTTATATAGTTCCATTGTTTTTCACTTGATTTTCACTTGATTTGATTGATAGTATTATTTTCCATATTTCGGGTATGAGTGATGAATCATTTCTATTGCATGTTTTGGGTGTAGATTCGATGAACCAGGATTCAGTAATCAACCTCTCTCTCGCTCCACCTACCTAGATTACTTTTTAGAATTTTAACCCTCTCCCACCCTATTGTGTGGTTGTGTGTCAATGCATGCAGTGCAATCGCTGAGTTTTTTTCTAAATTACTTATGTTCTCGAGGTCAACCATTCTTAACTTAGCTAAATTCTTATGTTCTGACAACCTCACCACTCCTGATCTACTAGTTTGACCTATGTAGTTGACTTAACTCACAGTCATTACAAGGTATTTTGTAAATTATATTATTTTGTCCAGTTGGGTTCACCGGGTCTTTTAGCCTACAGAGCTTATCCCCCTTCCTGAGTGAGTTTGTAGGTTTGAATGCCACTCTAATTCTTGCCTTTCAACTCATGTATATAAGTGAAGTAAAAAGTTGTGTGAGTGACTTGATATGATTATGAGCAGTAATAGTTTGTGTTCGAAACGTGGTCATCAGTTAATATTACTGTACAACACCTCTTATCTATAATGGAGTTATACTCTACCACCACAGTGCCCAAGTTTTATACTTACATCAATAATACGTGTTTCATCCTATATGAGATTCATGTAAAAGAAGGATCATTCAGCGAAGAGCTGCTCTTTTTTCAGCAATATCATTCTCCAGCTTGTACAATCACAAAATGAATGTTTACAAAGATGTCTTGAGAACTGTAAGTTTTAAATAGCAACTACGCGTAATACAAAAAGCGTTGATTGTGTAAAAAGTAAAATCAAATAAATAAATAAATTGCATGACGTCATTAGGAAATAATAAATCACTAGCCCTAAATATTTTTTTTAAAGCAATTAGTTCCCTGTATGAATTTCAGCAACACAAAAGAAGATGACGTAGTTTATGTGAAACGTGTAATGTGAATTTGCGTAACATATTTCGGATATTCTGATTGCACACCCACGTACTTGTCATACACAGTTCTATAGAAGGTAAGAGATGGCATGAATCACTACAATACAGGTCAAAGTCAAAAATAGTGAGTAGGGAGATGATTTCATGGAAGATTTCATCATAAGCTGACATCAGTTAGAGAACCACTAGAAAACCTAGGAGTACTGGACAGCTGCTTCGTCCTAGTTTGGGACTCTTCGGCAGTGCGCATCCACCGGGATTCTAACCCAGGGCCTTCTGGTTACAAGGCGAGCTCGTAGACCATTGAGCCACTGGGACCCTACAAAACCAATACTTGAAAATTAATCTGATGCTCACTAGTGACTGGCCCTATTCAGGCAATCAACCTGGGGTTCTAGTGGGAAGCCGTGACCAGTAGGGTACAACAGGTTGAAGATGAGGCAGTAACTCATCGAAGAAGACATTGCGAAATGGTCGCGCTATGTCGTGAGTTGGCAGAAGTTAGAATTCAAGGACCATTGGATTGGGTCCCAGTGGCTCAATGGTCTACGAGCTCGCCTTGTAACCAGAAGGCCCTGGGTTAGAATCCCGGTGGGTGCGCACTGCCGAAGAGTCCCAAACTAGGACGAAACAGCTCTCCAGTACTCCCAGGTTTTCCAGTGGTTCCTAAAATGATGTCAGCTTATGATGAAATCCTCCCTGCAAACCCAATACTTGAGAAGTAGGGAGATGACGCAAAGGTGTGAATAAGAAAGAAAAACAAAGAAGAGGTTGAAAAATTATGAAGTAAATTGAACCTTGGTTCTAAATTGGATTACCAAGTCAATTTTAAAGTAATAACAGATAACTTTTGGACACATAAGACAGACAGGTTCAAACGTTTTTATGGAGAAGAATTCAACGAATTTAAGTATGTGTGACCCAACCTTGTTTTACATATGGCTTAATTAAAGGCATTATTGAAATCAACCTTATGACCTGTCTCAGTGTCAGTAATAAAACTTACTATACAGCTAAACTTATCTTTATGGACAAAATGAGGTCTTTGCTGTCCTGTAAGCCCTCGTAGCCTCCGAACCATAGTGTCACATGCTATTGTGTTTGTTAATTTAAATGCATGTGTGGACATGCGTACATAGGCAAGACCCATTGTTCTTTGCAGCTTAGGGCTACACAACATATCCCAAAGTGGCTGCAACAATAAATAAAATCACCAGATACAACTACTGATCCTGGAAATAGATGTCCAACATCATCTATAGCGAAGCACACATTATACAGATGGGTCATAAGGTTGATTTCAATAATGCCTTTAATTAACCCATATATAAAACAAGGTTGGGTCACATACTTAAATTCGTTGAAGTTTTCCCCATAAAAAGGTTTAAACCTGTCTGTCTTATGTGTCCAAAAGTTATTTGTTATTACTTTAAAATTGACTTGGTAATCCAATTTAGAACCAAGGTTCAATTTACTTCATAATACTTTCAAACTCTACTCTGTTTTTTTTCTTTCTTTCCTACCCACACCTTTGCATCATCTCCCTACCCATTATTCGTGACCTTGACCTGAACACAATCTGACCTGTATTGTAATGATTCATGCCAATTCTTGCCTTCTGTTTGACAAGTACGTGGGTGTGTAATCAGAATGTCCGAAATGTGTTGTGCTAATTTTTTTTAGTTTTTTAATTTGTAGCATTTGTCTCTTGTCTCCTCCTCTCTTTCACTACTATATTTCTGCTGCTCATGTGACACTCATCTCAACTTGATTCTTACAATTTTAATTAAGTTCCGCTCAATCCCGCCAATTGCATTACGTCACGTATTTTACACGGTTGATTTTATTTGAGTTTCTGTCTGTCTGGATTCAACGTAGAACTTGGCACCGAAGTGCAGCAGTTCGAGTTGCCACGTTCCAAATAGCACACAAAGGTAGACAAGAAAATGAGTGAAGAGAATCAATTGAGTTTTGACAAGTATAAAAGTGAAACAGAATGAGTAATGGTAGAAAGGAATATGAAAGATTACAGAGACTGAATACATCTGCGCTAGCCATTCACGACGATTTTGAGCCATGTCACCTATTGTCTCCAGCCATTGATTCTTAGAGTCCCGAGGGCGAGCCCCAACCCGGAAGTCTGCATCTCTCTACCTGACTCAGTTTAACTGTCAGGGATTTGATGGATTGATGAGGCCATGTTTTTGTTTGGCCACCACTTACTCTTTTCCAACCTGCACCTATATCAATCAGCTAGTAATTCTCGTCCGTCGGGGGAGGCGAAAGCTAGGCATGCGCAGCACGTGACCTAACCGTCTCAATCTATGTAACTTTATAGCCTCTTCGAGTGATTTTCTCTCTTTGCCCAACACTCTACGCCTAACGTCAACATTACTTACCTTATTATACCACCTAACGCGAGAAAGAGATCGTAAACATCTGTGGTCGAAAACAGACAATCCTTTCATGTCTTCAACTCGTATTGGCCATGTTTCAGAGCCATAGAGAAGGACGGAGCAAACTGCTGAGCAGTACACACGTCCCTTGGTTGGTAGCTGGATGTCACGCCTACGCCAGAGACGGTGTAAGTTAGCGAAAGCAGCCTGAGCTTTTTGGATCCGTGCTGAGATTTCGTCACCAATCAATCCGTTGGTGCTGATACAACTTCCCAAATAGGTGAAGTGGTCAACATGTTCTATCACTTCACTCCCTATCACTAAGCTAGGAGTTGACGTAGTCCAGTCTTGTAGCAGCATCTTACATTTCACAGGGGCGAATCTGATGCCAAACATACGAAGATTGCTGCTCAAGGTGTTCAGAAGACTCTGCATTTTGTCAGCATCCTCCCCTAACAGGACTATGTCATCTGTATATTCTAAGTCCATAGTACTATTCCCTGGTGACAAGTCGATTTCTAAGTGGTTAAGCTCATTTAAGGATACTTCCATTAGCATATCTATGATGAAGTTAAACAGAAAAGGGGAAAGTGGACATCCTTGACGGACACCACTGGTTGTTATCAATTCAGATGACAATTCCCCATAAGCCCTTACACAGCTACGTGAGTTTGAGTAGGGTACCGTGATTAGTGCAAAGTACTTTCTTGGCACTCCCTTAACAGTCAAACATTGCCATAGTACCTTTCGATCCACGGTGTCGAAGGCCGCCTTTAAGTCAAGAAATATGGCAATTGTTGGACGCCGAAAAGTGTGTCTATGTTCTAGGATCTGTTGGAGAGTGAAGATATGGTCTATCCTCCCTCTACCTGGCCTAAAGCCCGCTTGATTTTCCCTCGTTTGTTCCTCCCGAGTTCTGCTTAGTCTGTGCATGATTACTGAGCCTAGGATTTTAGAAACTATGTTCATTAGGCTGATCCCCCAATGATTATCACATGAGGACTTGTCTCCCTTCTTGAATATCGGTATAATAAGTGACTTTCCCCTTGTCTGATGGAACCGTCTCTGATTCCCAGACGTTACCTAGTACCTTAGTTGATCTACATACTAGTATGTCACCCTCATATTTAAACACCTCCGGAATATTTCCGTCGGGTCCTGCCGCTTTGCCTCGTTTCAAATTACAGATAGCTTTTGAGTTTCTACCCGATTAATGCTTTCTGTATTACGTAATTGCTATCTAAAACTTATAATCTGAATGAAACATTTTCGGAAATATTCCTTAAGAACAAAATATTTAGAGCGAACAATTGTTTTCAATAAATTCTTCTTCTTCAGGCTCTACAATTATAAATCCATTAATTTAAGCATACAATAGCCAGTAAAGGCAAATTAGAATCATAATTGTTCCACAATACACTTTCTGATATGATTCTAATTTGCCTTTACTGACTGGCTGGCTATTGTATGCTTAAATTAATGGATTTATAATTGTAGAGCCTGAAGAAGAATTTATTGAAACCACAATTGTTCGCTCTAAATATTTTGTTCTGAATAAATTATGGGAATATTCAATATTCCTTAAGTTGGAAAGGAAATTTACTCTATGTAGCGATCGTACAGCTTCGAGACGATATCACTGAAAAGAGTAACTGTTAGCTGAACGCTTTTTCTTTTCCGAATTGTTAGTTTGCAAGTGATTTGATTGGTTACAGGTCTGATCAAAAGGTGACATCAGTTAGAGAACCAGTAGGAAATCAGGGAGTACTGAACAGCTGTTCCATCGTAGTTTGGAACTCTTCAGTACCACACATCCATGGGGTTCAACTCAGGACCTTCAAGTTACATGGCGAGCTCGTGGAACCATTGGGCCACTAGGACCAGTGTGTCACAGGCGAGTAACTGTTCTCTTAACTGACTTGGTGGATCGCACTGGTCACGAATTCTCACTGTACATTCCTGTCCAAGTGGCTAAATGGTCGACAAGCTTGGTCACTTAACCTAAGGGCCCAAGTTCGAACCCTAACGGGGTGGTGGGTAAGTACTACTGAGGGGTCTCGAAATAGGGCTTAAAAACTCCCAGGTGCTCCCCGGCTCCCAGTGATATCTCTAACTGATGTTGGTTCGTGACGGAAATCTAACAGTTGAAATTATCCAAATCCCATAATTTATTTACTCCTTGTTTTGACATTTTCTGTTAAAATTGTGATTTCAATAGATAAAACAGTCTAACCTGTCTAATTCAATTTTTGACGTGTTACATAATCCTGATTACAGTAATATCCGTTGGTTCCAGTGAATAATTTTTCCACTTATGACTAGGAATTTGTTAGAGAAAAAAAGGGCTTTTTACAGTATATATTTTGAGTGGAAAATATTTCCGGAGTTATTTTATCTTTCCCTGTCATTTATGAAATCAGATTGTTGTTTTTTTCCTGTTTTTCTGGATGGGAGGGGTAGGGGATGTGAAGACCTCAGTCGCATAAAATAGCACTATAAACCCTCCAATAGAGTAAGCCTATTAAAGCACGCATATAATGCTATATTGATTTTTTTAAATGTTCAAACAAGATATAAGAGATCAAGTTTTCCACAGGATTGTTGGTATTCATTCAAATATCTACCGTATAAATGTAGGAGTCAGAGTTAGGCGCTTAGATTAGGTTTAAGTCAAATTCGCCATCTGCAGTTTTAGGTGTAATGCCACTACAAGTGATCTAAATACTACATGGCATGGCTGCTTTACTCATTTGAAGCCGAATTCATCGATGGTGTACCCGGTGTGACTCAGCACAGAGAGCCGAATCAGTTGAAATCTCCAGATTTCTGACTATCTACGAGGGCGAACTGAGTGCACTGATGGTTCAGAAGTAGAGAATGCTCTCCGACCACACATGAGGTCCGGGGTTCGATCCACGGCCGACGCACTCCTCGCTAAGCTGGTAGTAAGTCCGGTAAGGAGGGAAGGTTGGGTATGAGGCTAGCAACCCCATCCCGTAAAAATAAACACCAATGCTGCTACCGAAATTTCAAAGCTCTAGCTTGAAGGCCTATAATTCCACTGGGAACGTAAAGGAATAAAGTAAATAGTTTTAATACTTAAGCGAACTGATAATACCTAAATCAAATTCACGATTATACAGTTGGAGATGAAATTTTAACAATTTCGCCTCTGGAAACTGTGATTATTATCCAGATCACAGTTTGTGATCTGCTTGATATCTCCTTAAATGTCAATTAAGAAAGTAAACATAAATACACGGTGCTATATACTACTGGTTGTTTGTGACAAGTAGTTGGATACTACTTACACTAACCTGTAGTGCTTGCTAGCCAGCCTTATCGAAGTGGTCCAGATGCCAGACAACCCTCGTTTAGGGTTAGGATGAATTACACTTAACTCAAAGTTAGTGTTCGGGGATTCATTGGTTAGGTGTTTAGCTTTAGGTACTTTACGTAGAGTCTTTTGGTTTAGCTCCATCCTTTTTTTCAGTTGTTCTTTCTTTGAACTCGTTTTAGGATTTACTGTAGACCCAAGATGATGCGATTGATTTCTGAGTAGGCTTAATGTCAAACGATTTCAGTTAGATAACGGTTGTGCAAACCATGTAGAGGACTAGAGAGCTATTTCGTCATACTTTAAATCTCTTCAGTGGTGTTGTGCATCAGGGGTCGATCCAGTGGAGCCCACCATGTTGGGTGTGTAAGGCGAGATACTCACCGATGACTTTAGACATCAATGAAGCTATATCGTAAATTGACAAAAGTTATAATTCACCAGTCATTGAGTTCCACCGTGATGGGTGAATACTGGTTCACGAGCTCTGCTTTAATCCTTAAGGTCTTAGTTTCTTTTTCTGACAAGGTGATGATAACGCACTACTTAAGTAACCCAAATGAAAATGATACAATCAGTTCATGGCGTCTGGTTTTTAGTGATTCACTAATTCGTGTAGGCTAGTAAGTAAGTAATAAGGTATCTTTAGAATATTATCACTGTCAAAGTTGAAGAGAAATCGTGAAATTTCCTAAGTCAACTTAAGTCCACTGCAGCTTGAGGGCGTTAATTAATACTGGCCATATGTTATGTATTGTAGTTTCAAAGTGTTTATAAACTCCTCAACGAAACTTCTGTCTAATAAGCATGTCCAAAAACAAACTATTCTTTCGACTGAATCGAAGTCAGACCCAACATCAAGTCATATATTGATAACTTGTGCATGAATCTTATCCTGTTGGCCAGAACCTTCTGTCATTAATATCTGAGGCGGTTGTTGGCACAACAAGCAGAGGCAGTATAAACTTGAGTTGTGACCTCCTTTGAATTATTGTCCCATATTACGTATGATGGCTGAAATACTTCCCTAACGCCGAGAATGAAGTTGATTATTGTCATGTGGTATTTGACTTGAAGTCTAATCCACAACACAGCGAAGTGCAAAGTTGACAGCTGAGTTCCCACATATGTCTGTGGCTAGAAGAGAATTATCTACTATTCATTCCTTTTGGATACTGGAGCTCATGTGTACATCACTGAATCAGGATTTTTCAACTCCTATAGGTTAACCATCCATAATATCTGCATAAATGTTTAGTCTATCGACGGTTTTTAATTTTAAGAGTTACTTTGTAGGGTTCTGATTTATTCCAAGTTTGATCACGGATTGATGTTAGTTAGGGAGGATCATAGAAAAGCAGAAAGAGTACTGGATATCTGATTCGTCCCGGTGTTCTTCGGCAGTATGCACCCACGCATGACCCCACTAGGGGTCAAACTCTAGGACTTTTAGGTCACGAGGCCAAGCTTGTTGACCAGTCAGCCACATAAGTCGCAGGAATTCAATGACCCGTGAATTCTAACTTCTGTCAATTCACGATATCATTGTTGAGTATTTGACCTCACACCTAACCTGATGGATTTGCAATTAGTAGTGTTCTCTGAGCTGGTTGGTTTAGTTGCGGAGCTTTCGTCGTTCTTCTGGACAACATCTTCAGCACAATTTTTAACATCACTCCGTGATCAAACTGGAAATAAATCAGAACCCTACAAAGTAACTCCTAAAATTAAAAACCGTCGATAGACTCAACATTTGTCCACATAACATGGATGGTTAACCTGATGGATCCCGGTGATCACAACTTCTCACCGGCTTGAATTCTACCGCTTTTCCTAACCATTATTCGTATGTATTTACTGACTTATTCACGTGAATATGTAGATTTTCTCTCTTTTATATGTGAATATAACTTTTCCTGAGTAAACAGCGAAGGGAATATCTTGAAGTAATTTGCTGGATGGTGACTAGCAGTAGAATCCATCCTGTTTAGGACTCGTTGGAGTGCTCTCAGATAAAGAGTCCCTCCCAAATAGGACGAAATTTGGATCCTGGAATTCCACTGCTAGTCAGTCACAATCCCCCCACCAAGATATTCCACAGACATTGTCGTAACCCCGGTACTAGGAGCCATCATATCAGCTGGGGCCTAACATTTTGGTCCACTCAACCCACGGGGAAAACATAGTTAGCCTTAAAACAAATATTTGTATAATTTTGTTAACGAACACACAATATATCACTCAGACTATAAATTATTCCTGTTTTTTTTGAAGTATTGTTACACAGTTTAACTAGGTTAGAGCTTGTCAGGTTTCTGGTATTCGAGTATTTTGATTGATTTATCGATTGATTAATTGATTGATTGTTTGATTGACAATTTCTACTCTGTTCACGTGTGTCAGTGTTTGTGTGTGTGTGTGCTGGTGTTTGTGAGAGAGAGAGAGAAACAGTAAGCGAGAGGATATGAGAGTCATAATTGAGATTAAATAACTGTATGTCTTTTTATTATTATTTTTCTTCTTCTGTCTTTTATAGAATCTTTTACACTTAAGTGATCGTATTCTTACTATCGGTAATCAATTAAAGATATTATCAACTGTCAAAGCAACTATGCTTGGAACACAAGGTATGCTCTCTTTTTATTTCATTTTTTTTAAAATTATTGTTATATTGCATAACATAGTGTGTATTGTATAAAATGTGTTTAAGAATGCGTTCACCTGTGTGTATATATGTTTACATCTGTGAGTGTTATTGTTGTTGTTGTTGTTGTGGTCGTAAATGAACAGTTGTCACATTGGTGTTGTTTATGGTGTACTTGTCATTGTTGACAGTGTTGAAGAAGAACATTAGTTATACTCAAGTAGTAGTCTAGTAATTATTTGACAATAATCTTATCAAACTGTTTTATATATATCTTTTGGTTATTGATTATGCGTTGATATGTGTGTTTACCTGCTAAGGAAAATGTCTTAATTCACGAGTTCATTTTTGTGGATGACAAGCAGTCACGTAGTAATAATAATACTAATAATATAACGACAGAACACAAGAGTTGTTGTTAACGGAATATCTATGTGCAATTCGATATATATACATAGTAGGGTTGTTATGTATTGTTATTTTTTTATTCCTGTACGTTCTTAGTGGAACATAGGCTGGCTTCAAGCTAGAGTTTTGAAGTTTCAGTAGCAGTGAGTTTTTTATTTTTACGGGATGGGGTTGCTAGCCTCATGCCCCCCAACCTTCTCCCTTTACCAGTCTTATTACTGGCTTAGCGAGGTAAAGGAGTACGTTGGCCGTGGATTGAACTCTCAATCTCATGCGTGGTTGGCGAGCATTCTATAACCCGGCCGACAACTGCTACCTTGTCGTGATGGTCGGGCTTGAATACCGCAGTGTGACCCAACAAACTAAACTGGCTGGGACTCATGTTCCTGCAGGTCCTACCATGTCAGGAAGGTTGTTTGGATAGCGGTTAAACTAAAAGCAGTTATCATGGGGTACATGGGCTCCACAATCCAATCGGATCAAATAGCGTATGAACCTATATTGGTCACCGGCAACTATGGGAACGTAGCTCCTGACGCTGCTCCGCTGTCTTGAGGATTAGACTCCAAGTCACAGGCTCGGGGATGGTCCCTTAAGACAACCACCTGCCTCGATCTGGGCGCCCGGGCAGTATCTCAGCCCTCACACAAGTGTTGCGTATCTTCTTGGTGCCATATTGTTTTTCTGCATTCTACAGCCAAGCCACCGACGCCGTTATTATGTATACCATATATTAAAATCGTCTTTCGCACAGATCTTCCCTGTTTGTGCTGCTTCTACACTTCGTATTGTGTTTCTTTATCTTCTTTTTGTGTCACATAACTACCCTGCTATGTGTAAATCAAATTGCGAATAGACATTCCGTTAACAACAACTTTTGTGTTCTAACGTTACATAGTTACTAGTGAAATCTCAAAATGAAAACAACAGGTTTGTTTGACACATATGACAACTAGTATCATCTTTGTCACAGTTAGGTTATACGATTGCCTATCAAAGGGGCGTGCGTGTATAACGCCTAGCAGTTAGCTTTCTCATGCATTATGTATTTGCCTATCATGACAAGTAAGCGTAACTGATTGATGAAATCTACCAGTCGCCTGCACTTGCGTAGGCGTCAGGCGCATTTTGTGATTAATAGATTTTAATTTGTTAACATCAGAATCAAACAGCTAATTATAGTGTTTATCGACTGGTATTTTGTTTTTAATGTAGAAAAAATCCCCATTTAGACATTTGGAAAACAGAAAGATTGAGCGAAGAAATATTTACTTTTCAATTAGATCCTCATCTCACTCTGGCTCTACTCTAATATACATAGCATTTTTATTACAATACACAACAGTTTACCAAACAAGTGGCGATATGTTTGTTAACAATAATTAAACAGTGTCAAAATGTCAATGGGTTGATAATTAACGAAGAAAATCAATACACACAATTAAAAGGTAGAAATGGATAGAATAAATTAATTTTACAAGGTTAACACGTAATTAAAGATGAAGTGGTCAAAATAAATAAAAATAAAATAATTTGGACAATTATAATTTTTATAGGTTTAGGGGGAGGGGGGCGACGTAGTCCTGTTTATGCATTCTTGTAACGATGGCCACGGTAAGGAAAGTGGCTGTACAAATTTCTTCTGTACACATAAGCTTGGCTTCTTCAGGTGGATTCCGATTGCCTCAGCTATTGTATGTAGAAGACGAACTCGTAGAGCAAAGTTAAGATTAATAGGAATGCGATAAATAATTTTAAATGCAGTATTCACATCAACCTTATGCTCAGTATCAACAAGGTGTGCTAAAATAGAACTACGAATAGATCTTGTTTGTCCCTTGCTTAACCATGATGGATGATGTTCGGAAATACGATGATGAACCTGCCTAATTGTACGCCCAATGTAGCTGGCTCCGCAGCTGCAGTCAAACTGGTAGATACACATAGAGGAAGAGGCAAAATTAGGTAGTTTATCCTTATTTCTCGAACATAGAATAGGGGTGGTTTTGAAGAGACAACGTACCTCTGCTGCATAATAAGCTCTTTTAACTGCATTCTTCAAGCGTTGTGTTATTATTTCGCTGATGTTGTCACCGAGGAACTGCAGTTTTATGAACATTGGTTTTTTTCGGAACTGTAGCCATACTGACTCTCCTAGGTGCTGAATTCATATTCTTCTCAATAAATTTATCTGGATAACCATTTTTTCTAAGTAATCCCAGTAGAGCTGAGATTCATTTCTAACCAGCTAAGGCACAGTTTCGAATTCTAGTATTCCTACTCTTGATGCTTGTACATTCAGATAGTTAGTAGGTATATTAAACCTTGCATAATAATTTTGGTGATAATGTAAATGGGCACTGGGTTCGAGCCTCGGTGGGAACATCATCACTCACTGAGAAATGCAGGTACATCCAGATGACGAGTCCCAAATAGGACGAAATGCGCATCCTGGATTCCAATGCTAGTCACCATCCACCAATTAAGATAATGTAAACAGTTTGCTAGGTGACATATTATTATCATTCACAAATGGAATATTCCTCGATTGTTTATCATTCCGATGACATCATTATATGATGAACAAAGCACTGTTCAATGACTTGTTTATTTATCAAAGGAAATCATTCCTTACATTATCATATATACACACACACAAGTACTCACGCAGTCACAAACAACTTATATACATTTTTTTAAAATACCCTTATCTTTATTCTCTAAGATGATTCATGGTTCGAAGCTCCATTACAATCGGAACTGGATTGTGGTAATTCTGCTTCTTCTTCTTCGCGTTTCTTTCGTTTTTCTTTTACTGCATGTTTATCAATCAATTGGAGTGTAAATGGAGTATTGTGTGTATAACACCTGTGATTGCTTTCCTTTTTTTAAATACTTCAACACTTTTTTGATGAATGACAACTGCATTGCATTGTCTACTAACAACACGTCGCCTTCGTGATAGTGTTGCTGTTGCTATTTTCTGCTGATTGGCTAATCTCTCTGTGTGTGTGTGTGTTTTCTTATCTTGAGTGAATAGATAACTCTCGTCTGTGCATCTGTTTGTCTTTGTGTGTGTATGTGTGCGTGCGCATGTGTTTTCGTGTCTGTTAGTCAATAAACCGTTATCAATCAATTTCATACATACTTGATAATACTGTCACTATGTGTGATTGACAGTGAACCTCAACTGATCACAATGAAGCTAGGGATAAATTCATTGCAGTTTGTCCTTATGACCTATTCACAAATGGTGCATACGTGTTATCCTTTACCAAAAATGTCCGATGCGTTATCAGTTCTTCCTTATTCAATTCACTCCCCTGATGTGTCACTTTGGATATACACACACAGCTGTGATGAATAGGTTTAAATTATTTATTATTATTATTATTGTTTCCTTTAATTCCTAGAGGAACATAGGGCTTCAGCCGTGCGTCTCCATTGCGTTCGGTTCTCTGCTAGAGTCTTCACCTGGCTCCAAGTCTGCCCACACGTTTTCATCTCCTCTTCACATGACCTCCTCCAAGTCACCCTTGCACTGACGACCAACTCGCCGCTTCCCATTCAGTCGGGTTCCACTCGAGCAATGGCTTGTCTAGTGATGTCACTTGATGGTTGTTTCCTCAGAGTATGGCCAATCCATCTCCATTTCTTCCTGCCTATTTGTTTCACAATCGGTTCCTGGTTGGTTCGCTCCCAGAGATCCCTGTTGCTGATCTTTTCTGGCTGGCCATCTGATCTTGTAGTATTGAGCGAAGACAACTGTTAATGAAGGTCTGTAGTTTGTTTGAGATGCTCTTTATGACGCGCTGGCCAAGTCTCTGATCCGCATAGTGAGTAGCACTGACTTCACATTGGAGTTGAAAATCCGGATGTTATTTTTGATGCTGAGTGCTGTTGACCTCCACATAGACTTGAGAGTAATGAAAGCTTGTCTTGCTTTTCCGATTCTTGCTTTGATATCCTCGTCAGTTCCGTTGGCCTGTAGTTGAAACGATGCTTCCCAGGTCGGTAGGTAAAAGAGGTTGTTTCTTTCAGGTTCCTCCCATATATGCTGATCGTTTTCTGTTGTTGTTGCTGTTGGTGGTGTTTCCCAGGAATCTTCATCACCTTTGTTTTCTCTATGTTCACCTGAAGGCCTATCTTCTCTGGACGCTTCTTCTGCCAACTTGTTTAAATTAGATAGGGCGAAATAGTTTGTCAACTCCTCTATAAAGTTTTCAATGCCTCCTTTAAGTGATGTGAGTTTTGTCACATGAAGTCGTCTATATTGAAATTTATTAAATCTCAGAATAAATGTAATTTCCGAGATCTTAGTTAGTTAGTTAGTTAGTTAGTTAAAGAAATATGTAAAGAAGAAAAGACTGATTAGGTTCGACGGTAATCTTTATTAGGGAAAAACGCATTGTAGGTACTTGAATTTTCGGTGTACCTTATCTTTAAGTCTTTATTTGCACATCATTTGCAAATTGGCTGAATATCATCACATTCGTTAGCTTGTTGGATTCCGCACAGACACACACACAGTGTTGTAACTTTCTTCTCACAGTTCTCTTCTTCGATTGCCTTTTTTCCCAGTGCCCCAATAACATATTGTTACATTTCTGAATTCGTTTACTGATATACTACTTATATCTGATTATAAGTAGCACTCACCATACTACTACTATTTTTGCGTTCTTAGAGTGGAACATAGGGTTTCTAGCCATTTTGAAGTTATAATACCCACGGTGGTGTTTTTGTCTCATCCTTCCCTATTCTCTGAGTGTGTAGTGTCTGTCGGCTAGTTACGAGCTTCAGGAGTGATTCACTCGAGAATTTAACCCAGAGCTCTCACTTGACTGGTGGTGAACTGTCAATGCTCACTGTAGATTGCATGTAAATGATTCTTGTTTACACATATTTTTGAAGCCAGTGTGTGCGTGTGCGTATTTTGATGGAATGAGAAATGTAATCCATAGTGTGTTGTCTTTTTGTGTGTGGTTCGTTCTTTATTGCTTAGTTTGTTTTAAACTGAACTGGTTACTATTGTGAACACATTTTTGCATTGAACTGGATTGATAATTGAGCTTACGTTGTTTTCTTTTTAAACTAAGGAAAAATTAAAAATATGCTAGTGAATGAAACTGTTTCAACTCTCATAATCCATCGGCTTTCACTACTGACTAGATTATTCTGTGTATTATTAGAGGAAGAGAGAGATGGAGACAATTTTTCATATTAGTTTGTTTATTAGATGTATCACACAGTGAAACAGTATATTTTTATGATGACAGTTTCGAACAAAATTTATTCATTGTTCATAATCATTTCATCAATTATAATCACACGACTTCGAAACTTGAGTTTCATAGTTTTCTTTGTTCTCTTCTACTTGTCGTCGTTGGGGTAGTAGAATTTTTCAGATATCTGCGTGGACAGGTGTTGAATCATTCCTATTACACGTATTCTCTTCAGTTGATTCGACAAGCACAAAGCTTCTGTTGTCGATCTCTCCTTAGACCCTGTGACATTAGATTTTAAAACTGTCATCCTATCCCATCCTATTGTCCCAGATATCTGGAAAATTCTACTACCCCTACGACGACAAATAGGAGAGAATAAAGAAAACTATAAAACTCAAATTTCTAAGCCGTGTGATTATAATTGATGAAATGATTATGAACGATAAATTTTGTTCGAAACCTTGTCATCCAGTAAATAATACTGTTTTATCACTGTGTGATACATCTAATAAACAAACTAATATGGAATTACTTACTACCACAGTGCCCAAGTTTTACACATATATTAATAAGGAGACAATTTTTGTGAAAGATGGGAAAAACTGTGACTTGGAGTATGCTTATTTAGTTATACGACTGTTTTAGGACTTCCTGCTTCTAACTGTCTAAATAATCGATTGAGATTCCCTATTTAACCTTCGAATCTTGCTTCATTTACTGAAGTTTTGATACTCAAAACTATAAAACAGTAAATATGTTTCTAATCTTTTGTGTTCTCATTCTTCAAACATGTGACCTTTCTGATCATTCCTCACCAATGAAACACCTAGGCGATAGATGTTTCTGTTTGGTTTTGTTCTCCGAGTTGGTGGATTTAATTACGGAGCTTTCGTTGACCTTCTAAACAAGCATCCTCGACTAGGATGTTGTCGTTGTGTTGTTTCAGGTGGATGGTTTAACTGCATAGCTTTCAGTGTCCTACTAGATAACATATTAAGCACTCTAACTTTAGTGTGAAGTGATCTTTGACATGTTCCAACAGCTGAAATGTTCATTCCTCTTCTTCTCATTCATTTCTACTGTGATTGGTTGTCCCTGTAGTTTTTCCTATGATCGTATTCACCTAGACGCTCCTGTTGACTTGTTATTTGACCTTTTAGTCCAAATGTCTACCAATTCCGAACTAATTCTATTGACTACGCAGTCATCAAGAGCTCTCTGACAATCGATCGAAGGATGTGTGTGTGTTGCACATAAGTTAGCTTCGTCTTTTTGTATGGTTGTATGTGAGACATGGTCAGTGCGAATGGGAGATGAGGAAAGGCCAGATTTCTTGAATTATAGATGTTTAAGTGGTATAATATGGCTAGTAATGTTGAATTTAGGCGTTAAGCACTAGGGTAAGGAAGAGAGGTCAGTTGATGCAGTTGGGTAGGTGAATCGATTGAAATAACTATGGCATATATTGCACATCCTGAACCATCGCTTTCCTTGACGAGCAATGTTACCCGATATTGGATTACATTGGAAAAGTACTAGAAGTGGTCAAATAAAAATGAAATCAATCCTTGAAATCGTTGACAGTTAGTTTGACCCACGTAGGAAGTTGTAGACTGCCTGTTTCGGATTCTTGAAAGACGCTAAGAATCAGTAGTTGGGGGGGGATTACTGCTGATATGGCTCAAAATCGTTCCTAATGGCGTAGATGCATTTAGTCTTTGTCATCTCCCAGATACATCAATTCCTCATCTTTCTTCAGGTTACTATTCTTCCCCTCTTACATTTCTACACACTATTTTTTTGTATTTCTTTACGTCCCCAGTGGAATTACAGGGCTTCAAGCTAGAGGCTTGAAGTTTCGGTAGCAGTGGGTTTTTTTATACTTTTACGGGATGGGGTTGCTAGCCTCATGCCCCAACCTTCCCTCTTTACCAGTCTCATTACTGGCTTAGTGAGGTAAAGGACTGCGCCGACTGGGGTCGGCGGGCATTCTACCGCTGTGCCACCAACGCTCTACATACTCTAGCCCTTTCGAATTTCTTTTATGTTCTTCCCTCTCCATTTGTATGCTGCATGGATTGTGGCGACTTGAACTACTTCACTTCTGTGCAAAGTTTTGTGCTGAAACATAGTCAAAAACTCTCTGACGTTCCTTTTGTTCCATCTTTTCGGAACTTTATTTTACTGTCCCAGTTGAATAATTGTCCATTATTGTTCACGTAAGAGTAAATGCATGTTCATGTATCTTTTAACTGATAATTTGTGATCACAAATATGTGAATTGAAAAAGAATCAATATGAGAATACAAGTTAATACAATCATCATAAGGAAAACAACAAGAATAACCAATCAAAATGAAGGTCAATAGAAGAAACAGTTATATCATTGATAGAGAATGCCTCAAGTTCACTTCACATTAATTAGAGTTAGACCACTGAAGAAGATGTTGTCGTCTTCAGTTGGAGAATAAAAGCGCCACAATTAAGCCATTTAACTCAGTGAACACAACAACTTCAGAAAGATAACCTACTGTAGAGAAGAAAAGACCGAGGAGGCTGAAAGGAATGTTTATCTGGTGAAACGTATTGTACATAGCTAAATTTGGTATACCATATTTTCAACCTGCCATTTGCACATCATTTACCACATCCTTGACGAATTGGTCGAATATCGTCACATTCGATAGCTTCTTGGATTCTGCATCACATGGCAACATTCTTCTCATGGTTCTCTTCTTTGATTGCTCTTTCCAGTGTGCCAAACATATTGTTACTTTTCTGAATTCGTTTCTGATATACTACTTATATCGGATTATAAGTAGCACTCACCACACTACTATACATACATAATTAATGCCAGTCCAGGTCATTTTTACCAATTTTTTTATTGCATGAATGATTCTGTAGTATTATCTAATACTGATTGCTTACTCAATAGAATAAACTGTGCATTGCATCATTTCATATTGATAATGACTATGCATTACTATGTGTACTGCTTCACAATAGGTTGATTAAGCCTGAAATTACTTATTTCTCTTTTCTTCCCTATGAATAAGTGTATATTGAATTTTGTTGTTGTTCTTTTTCTTAGGTTCTAAAGAAGATCAAGAAAACACGGAATCATTAGTTGGTAATGCACAGAATTTAATGCAAACAGTTATTGAAACACTACATGTTGCTGAAGGCGCTAGTATTAAAATGCGTGTACACAGTGGGCATAAATTTGTCTGGCAACCACGTGGACGAGCAGTAACCAATTCAACAACAACAGCAACAAATTTTCATCGATCTAAACAACAACAACCACAGCAACAGACAACACGTCCAATCGTACATTGACCAATCGGTTGTTGCTGTTGTTGTTCTAGGTTGTCGTTGGCTTTGTAAGCCAAAATGTGGTTTAATATTTTAAGTGATTTTTTTCCTCTTTTTTTCTATATTGTAAATATATTTTTATTATTTTGAAATCAATATAATGTGTATTCTAATGACTTGTTTGTTTTTATTCGAAATTGCCTCCATCTGTTTATTCTTTGTTTTTCTCTCCCTCTTTCATGACCTTGATTATGTTTGGCCTTGACTGATTTTCTTCGTCTGTATATTTGAACAATATTCACTTTTGTTTGACTCGAATTGTTTCAATGTAGTCCTGCTTGTGGGGGTGGGTATTTGTGCGTGTGTGTGTGAATGTGAGAGAGAGAGAGGAAGAGTTTCACTTCGTGTTCATCATGGCGTGTGAAATCCAAAGAGATCCGATTAATTTCTTATCACTGATATCTTTCAACTAATTTTTTTCTGTTTATAACGGGGTTTATTTCCCATTCAAAGTTTTTGTTTTGTTTGAATATATATTTTTGGCAAAAATCAACTGACTACTTAAAAAATTAATGTAATTTTCTTTATATTTATCAATTAATAAATGCACAATATTCGTTGAAATTAAAGGAGGTGAAAGGTTATGTTGTCTGTGTAATGCAATGAAGAATATTCGGAGTTCATATGCATTATATTTGATATGATTTTGTATAGTATTTGTAATTTAGGCGCCTAATTCAAATGAAAATTTTAATTCTGCTAAGCTTTTATTTATTTATTTACGTTTGATTGTTTCTTTTTCTTTCATTTACTTTTATTGTCTTCAAACGATGATGATAATAAACTGGTTTCATTTTTTGTTTTTGCTAGCAACGACTTGTACTTTTTTTGACTTGAGCAAACGGAGAGGGAGTGTTCATTGTGATGTGCACAGTGTGACGAAAATCAGTCAAGGGACTGTTAAAACATATGAAGCACGAAAAACAAAACTTCCTTTCTTTCCACCTATTTGAATGGCGGTCAGTTACGTTTTGAATTAAGTCAGGCAGTTGTATTGCGCGGGCTAAGTCCAGCTATCTTAAAGGTGTTCAGTTGTTCTTTTACACAGCTGAATTATCTATTGTGACATTTGATGTGCTATGCGCCTTGATATTTCCTTTATCTTCGCCCAACACGGAGTTCGTTAATTACCTGCTCTGAGAAGTCCACTGCAAGCATTTTTTCATTCTCTTAAGATAACTAAACATGTGTGGTAGATGTTAACTGTGGTAAGCTCACAGAGTTGTCTAAAACACTTGACGAAACTGACTGGAAATTGGATCTTGAATGATATGCTTAGTTTATCCTTGGTTGACGCTCAGAAAGAAAGTTGGAAGAATAACTTAAGTGCAAAATGAGAAATAAAATATCATGTAAATAAAACAACGTAATCTAGCTACTGCGATAAATTAGGTCGAAATCAGACTTAAGATTGCTAAGCGTACAGGCTCACCAGTTAACCGGAACTCATTAACTGCGTTGTAAATACGGTTTTAGTCAGTGGGAGAATATCTGCGATAAGCGTGTCACGCAGGTTACCGTACATTAAGGTGTAAGGACAACTCTCAGTTCATATACTTTTCTGGATTCCTAAATCAGAATTTAACTATGATTAAGCAGTTATTGTAACCTATTTCGCTAAAAGGGCTCCAATAACACAAGTGACAAGCTTGGAAATCACTGGGACTTAATATGTCGATTTTAACGTTGGTGCGGCTATCCTTTCTTTAGACGAAATACTGCAGAGATGTACATTTAATGCCCAATCCAACTTTCTTAGTGTGATGTACAAATTAGTAGATGGGGTGGGGATTGAATCATCAATGTTCCCTGTACTGTTATACTGCTTCATAATAAGCCTAGAAGATAATGTGTCAGGCTGATGTCTCGTTCTGATTTTGGCATAACCAGAGAATGTGCGGTAAACTTCATGCACAGACAACTCGGTATGCTCGAGCGTCCACGTGTACTCCGGCTGTACACAACCTATGTTCGACCGAATGTTTAAGTGCACATTATCATATCTCCGCAGTTACTCGAAAGAGACATCCAACTCCTGGAAGTGACTTAGAGAGGGACGACAAAAGAGTTTATGGGCTCTTTGACACTAATCATTTGACGAAATGGCTACAGAAACTTGGTCTTTTCATATTTAGCAGCCACAGGATAGCGATGCCTTAATTAGTGCTTATTAAACCACTAGTGTCCAGAATAATCCAAACAGAGATGTCCTGCAATCAGGTTAAGACGGACTCCCTCGTGGCGAACCACTCAAGATCTTGCATCAAACTGCTAAGTCTAGAGTGCGTTGTCAGTTCATTTCGCGCCAAATAAGGCCCACCTGGAACGTTTTTCTAACATCCAAGGGGAAGGCACTTCCATTGAAAAGTGTTATAACTTCGCTGAACTGAATGGAAACCGTAGTCACTTTGTTATGTGTGCGCCTGGCTAATATGCCTATTTGCGCATTGTGTCTACTGAGCCACGCAAATATCAAAAGACAAAGGCTGGTCTGTGACTGTATACTGTAATCAACATTAGGAAAACAGAACATGGTATGCATACATTTTTACAACAATAAATACGGCTAACAGCGTTCGAAATAATTGACCGCATAATCAACCACAACATGTGTGAGAAATGATGATATACTATTTGATGCGGGATCCTATCAGAAAGCATTCAGCTAAGGTTGGATATTCATTCAACAGCATACTCAGTGTGCCAAAAACCGTCTACTCAACCAAATTAGGTAGCAAACCACAATTTTTTCACTTGTCTGCTCGTTTATATTCTCAAATTTTCCCATTTCATATTATAAGTATTGTTATCTACTCGCTTCTTGATCATACCAAACAGCTAACAGATGAAACGACTGAATTGGGTTGCTGCAGCTCTACAGTCGTGACACATTACGAACCACAAATCAAAGATACCCTATATTCTATAACACTTGCTCAGGGATCTACCAAATTTCAGCAGGCGAGAAATGTGACAAGGCAACTCAGAAACTCACCAAAGATTAAGAACTGTTGTTTCGCTACCAATAAGCAAGCACAAAGATGTTGCGCTGGTTTATACTAGCTCTTAAACCTATCGAGTCAGAGTAATGCTACTAAAAGACATTATTTCTGTAGCCTCACTACAGAATTTGTCTATATATCTAGAGGTACATGCGGAAGGTTTGTAAGGTGGTTGAAAGCGAGGATTCACCTAGGAAGCTCAGAGTATCCAATGGATTGTCGCTAAGTGTCGTCCATACAGTTGTTATACTCAGTAATGGTCTGTCAAAGACCTTTATCATACTTCATGAATAATCCTTCATTGTTTTGAGGACTGGACAATTCAGTTACTTATATTTAACTGCCTCTGTTAGTTGTCAGAATCTGCAGTTGTGATATTAGCAACAGGCGTTTCGGCGCTGGACCGTGGCAAAGCTAAGGGTTCACAATATTAAAACTTGATGTATTACTCACAGAACAATTTTGCAGATTAATAAATGTTTAGATCTACATGTGGTCTTGCTTGGAAAAATTTGGCATTTGTTTTGGTTATTACGTTGAATTCCGCAATTTTGAGTATTGTATATTAGTTGCCTGTATATTCTGACACGATACAGTAGTGAGACGGGAGATCTATAATTCACATATTTGGCAGCACGAAATCACAGCCAAATTAGGAAAACTAGTGCAGTGATGAATTAGAAGAACAACATTCTGCTAAGGTCTACGCTCAGAAATCGCCACATCCGCAGTCATCCGTTGAAATACATATCTAGTAAAGTGACGCACGGAAACTGTTGACCAACTTAGAAACGAGATTTCAAAATGCTATTGAAAAGTATGCCTGCGTGGAGTTGATGTTATCCAACGAGCTGTTAAGTCCTTGGAATTAAGTTTCAGCAGACTTCGAGTCAGATTCATGTAAGAAGCCAGTGGATAAGGTCACATACGTAATAGAGAAGGGTTATTATTAACCCCAAGCTTTTCTAAAGAATATTTGAAACTCACTGATTTTAGTGGCAGATAGTCACGGCTCAACCTACTCTTTTCTGTGACTGATATGTATGGTATCTACCTGTTACATGAAAAGTGTACTTTTTCATGATCGGCTGGTGAATTTTGTTTTAGTGGTGACCTTGAAAGCGCACGAGAGTTTGGAATACGCGATTGCGCGGTCTTTGTTTTCGTACAGTACTTTGGGTTTCAAACTAAGTAAAGTTTGACTGCTGTGTAATGGAAGTTGGTGATTTAATAGCTACTCCTCTCAAAATATACGACCAGATATGTCGTAAGTATCTGGAACATACACTGTTTACATTATAGATGCAAATACTGATAAGTCTTTTCACGGTGAAGTTCAAAAAGTTATAAATGATTACTCCTCGAAGGTTTGTTACTAGCTCCTATATGTTAAGCTTACAGGTGCCTTTATATGGTTGTACTGCTTTGGACCGAATTCCAGATGGTCATTTAGTGCGCATCATTGGAATGGTTCAAGATATGTTTAACTCTGAGCTGTATATGGATACGTATCGTTTGTCAACGAATGACGAAACTATCAGGTCTTTCAGATATCGAGATTACAGTGACTTCCAAGTAATTTTTTGATTTTTGTGTGCCTTATTCTAGTTTTAATGTATAACAAAATTTAGTGATCAACTCCTTGTATACAATTGTATTTCCCTGTGTTTAATAAATATTTTTGTATAGCTTAGGTGCGACCAGTAAACCGTAGTACAAAGTGTAGCAACTGCTTACATTAACAAGTTAGCGGCTGTTTCAGTTATGTTACATTTGGTGTACAGCCCTTATCCCGATGTCAGATAATTCGGACATATCGAATTCCCTTCAAGAGCCAAATATTCGCATTAGAATCCTTCATAATTTCTGAATAAGGCCGAGACGTTTGACCTGTGTAAAAACAGCCCTAAATGATCATATTATTGTGACGATAAGCAGAATTTCGCCTTGTCATTAAGAGTAGATGTAATCCTTGGGGAAATGTGCTCAAGGTATTCAGACGCTGATTAGTTTCCCAGTGCATCACATTGTCACAGTAAACTACCTGATGCAGTTATCAAATCGAAACGTGAAATTCATTCTACTGCCAAAAAGGCCAGTGTAAGTCAGTAAGTGGTATCACTATGATTCCCTTTTTGTTCTCTACCAGTTGTGTGTAGTTGTTTGTTACAGTGAGTTTCTTGTCCTTTAATAATCGACGAATGTATGGTTTCCAAAAAAACTGCATTTATTTTATTTTACAGAATAATGAAGATATGAATCCAATAGATGTTAAATTTTCTGAACGCCAGTCATTTTATATAGTGCCAGTACCTGGCGAATCACCTTGGGTCAGAGAAATATCCTTTTTACTGTTTAGTTTCTATTGCGTGGGTCCTGACAATTTCATTACCCGTGTGTCATATAATCGCTTTTAAATGTTGCGAGAGTTTATGGTTTAAATGTTGTATAAGATCACAAACAATTTAATCGTCACCGATATTTGACGATGTGTGTGTGCATAAACGAGTCAAAATATCTGTTTTGAATAATACGTAAACCGATAAGTATGCTGCTGCAACGAACAGGTAATGCTTAAGTTTTCCCAGTAATATTTAGTTTTGATTATCCTTAATCTGAATGGAGTATTGTGGATGGAATTAGAATTATACTGGGAAGTATCTTCCGTTGGCTATAGGTTACATATCTTCACACCGAGGTGCCGTCAAGGAAAGAAGGGAATTTCTTTGCTTAAGTTCGAGACAAATAAAGTGTTAACGAAGTGTATGGGTATCTTTTATCAACTACTGGAAATCAATATGTGCAGTATGCTTTAATTATAGGTAATATAAAACCATAGATAGTCTATAAATGTTTAAAAAAACCCAATTGGAATTGATTTTTCTTGTGGTTATGAATGAGTTTAGTGTGACAGTGTTGTATAAGCTGTATTTTCTTGAACTATGTATTACGCAAGAGTAAAAGCCA